CCAACTCTTAGTGTAAAGCAACGTTCAAGCATACCTAGTGTTATACTAGTTTAAACCAGGCTGGGGCAAATGCCTAAGAAAGCTGGGTAACGAGGTGAAGGATAACTCAAGCATACCTGATGCTGATGCACACTTTAGCTAGAGCAATGTCCCCACTTTCGTTTTGGGATTGATATAGTATAGAAGGGCCAACGTGCCAACGAAGCGGGAACACTATACACATTTTATGTTGTGTTTTATGGTCCAGGGGCCGGTGTCTCTCTCCCTTTAAAAGAAGTTGGGCGTTTCTTTAATATGAGCTGCACGCATCTACCTCCCCGTTGGTGCAGTTCGGAAACGATGCATCGAAAGATGCACAGCCAAATGATGCATTTTTTTTAAGTGTGAAATCAAACAAATCAACTAAAATTATCACCCACGCGTTGAACAGTCAAGTTTCATTGAAGGTTTTTATTATTGTTTTTTTTTTATAAAATTTTTGGTTTACCATTTATTAATTAAATTTTCTAATATTCAATTAAAGGTTTTACGGGTTGAAAAACTAAGTTCAAGAATCCACGTAGTAGGTACTGATGAAGAAAAAGATGAATGCACAACAATAAAAGAAGCATTTGATATACACGATATAAAAATACCTCATTCTAAAATCCGTTGATTGTGTGAAAGTATATATATATATATTACTGTAATTTAATGGTAACTAGATATTGGAAAATTTTTTGATAAGAAAAAAAAAAAAAAGCTATAATTGACTTTTCTAAGTGCATGTCCATTTCCTTTACTTGTAATGACCTCCTTTTCTTTATAATATTCGTAGGTTGTATTTCAAAAGTCCTGGCATCGACATATGTAACACAAGAGCGATCTATAACGTTGCACTATCCTCAAATTTTTCAAGATTTTCAATGACCAGTTTTAACGCGTTTTTTTTCAACCAACGACAGCAATCGTTCTCCGGTTTCCAAATTATTAGGTAATGTTCGAATTTTTTTTTTTTTTTTTTTTTTGCTTTTGTTTTTTGCTTTTTTTTTCCTGGTTTAGAATCATTAACAATGTTCTTTTAACCTTTCTCTTTAACGCTTAATCACTTGGAGCCTTTGATCACGCGAATATCAACGGCTTATAGCGCGGTTAGATCACCCCAACTGACGTCTCAGTTCGTGAGTTAACCTCTTAATATGTCTTTTTACTTCATGGTTTTATGAATTAAAACGAATAAGATCTTCATCTTATCTCGGTCCTTCATTGTTGTATAGTTCGCAGTTCAGTAGTTATAGGGATTTTGGGTCTAGAGAACCAACTCTCTCGTATCTAGTGTATCGTTTAAGTCCTATCCGACCGGAAATCACATCTTTTATAATACTTCAGATATATCATTATCCGGTTACACGTATTGTATACATTTACGTAATTAATGGTCATGATCAGGGATCCCAAAAAATTGTTTTTCATATTGCGAAATAAAATCATCCATATTGTTATAAAATTATAGTCCGTCACGAGTGACGTTTTGTTTATGTGAAAATGAGATAAGTTAGTGTTTTCAAAAAAAAAGTACCGGTATAATCGGTTACGCTATCGTTACTGTACTTTTGCAGAATTCTCAATTTCCCGCATTAGACGTAGATAAAAATTGTAGTCTCATAGGCACCAAAGAAAGTTGCATTCCAGGGCAAATCTTGAATATGTGCCAGGTTTGTGGTGCATTAATCAGCCGCAATGATCTCTTTTATTTCAGTATGTGTGCATCTTCAACTGTCCTGTATTCTGAATGTTTTCTATTTTTTCTTTTGTGAAATGAAAAGATATGAATATAGTTAATTCTCTCTATACGATAATATAATTTTTAAATATTTAATTCGTAGATTATAAAAAGGCTAATTATAAAGCGTGTTGGCTGTACTAATGTGTAAGTAGAGTATATTACAGTAACAAAGCTCATAAAATTTGGGGTTAAAAGTGAAACCATTTAACAATAAAGAACACTACTATTATTCTTAAAGATACGATTCAGTTTAGAATATAAAAAGTTTTTTATTTAAAGAATTTTTTTTATAAAATATACTACGTGTTTATTAACTAACATTGTGCTTATTTGAGATTTATTATAATAATTTTAAGTTAAATGTATTTTTTGTACTTGTATTATGTTAAATTTTGACAAGTTGTCATCATTCTGGCCTGTAAAAATTTCGAGATATATAATTTATAAATATTATAAAAAATATTCTTTTGAATTCAAAGCAATAATATTAGAAGCTAAAAGTTATGAAAAAAAAATTAAGGAAACGTACTTTTTTAAAAATATCAAAAACATTTGATTCGAGTAGAATAACGTTAAAAAAATGGTGTTTTCGAATACAATAAAGGATAGCTGTCACGAACATCCTGATAATTAACAATTAATCTGTGTGAGAATTAATCAGTTTATGATATCATAATGGTACGATACGTAACTTGAATGTCGAATTACTGGGGAGTTCCAAAGTTAAATAAATGGCTCATTTTGAAATTAAATGAGAGTTTGAAAAATCTTAATTGTTTTCAAAATTTTAAAATCGGAAAATGAAATGGGAATGTTGTAGATCCCCATTTCATGAAATAAGAAAACTTTTATTAGATCAGACTGTGTAAAAACATATGGGCGAAAATTTCCAGTCTTATTATGCATAAAAGATTTTTAAACCAATCATATGTAAGATTTGGAGTGACTACTGAGATTAAAAGTAATATTTTAGTCAATCGTTACAAAATTTCTTATGATGTTTACGTATCAATTTTTTATATAGTTTACTTTATGGTCTTTAGATAATTTACGAGCCCTTATCGGTTTTTATACAGTTGCTCTATAAATTTTATAGTAAGTACGTACGTATGCACTTAGTAGTTTAGACTATCACATTTAATTTTAATAATCACAATGTTTCGATTGTAAATTTTTGCCCATACGAAAAAAAATAACAAATAAAACTTTCGTACAAAATATAGTATCGTATTGAAATATATAATTTCTAGTAGAAATATGGAATTTGTTTTTAAAGCATGCTCATTCACTCAATTGACTTCTTATTTTCATCGATTTCGTCTGGGTTATCATAATGATAATTTGCCGGTTATAATTTACTTTTTTTATTCGTAATAATTTAGCAAGTGAAGAAATTATTCCTTAATATAAACATTCAAAATAAGCTTCAAGTCCATGAATACTTCATTTTGTTCATGATAATCTGGTGCATGAGTACACTACAAAGAACATTTATTAGCTACTTGAAGTATTCAAACAAGCTGAGTCCGCGAACATTTAATTTTTCTTCATGATAATTTGTGGGCGAGTATGAAAAATATTTATTAATCGTAGTATTTAAACCATGCTATTTTTTTAGTTTATAAAAATATCTACTATTGCCTTTATTTTATTTGCATTGTTTTAGCATGTAATTATAAAGAACCTTTATTAAATAATTTTGCAAATAATTTTTATTGGCTGTTTCGCAGCTAATAACTCTAATGTTTAAAAATCACATTTATTATGTTAATCATTTTTTTTTATAATGTTTATTAATCCATTTTATTTATCATACGTATAATTTTTAATGTTCGTAATTCTGATATTTTCTCTTATGCATGCCCGATTAGGGTAAATGACTGTATTCCTGGGTCTGACCAGATCGCTTCAGGTATATCCCTGCTTAGCTATCTTTTCGATCCGTTGACTTCTGTCACTCGAAAAAATTTTACAATGTGATATAATTAATTGTGATCTAATCTTTTCAGATCTTTGCCCTCAACCCCAGCATTACAGATACAAGGGGTGTTGGTCATCGCCATGATATTATAATAGCTATTTTCATAAATCCTGGATACAAAATTTGCTTGTTTCCTGAAACTCTTTGATCTTATTCTAAGAAACACTAGCTTTTCGGAAACTGTGTCATTGCCTCTGTATCGAAGTTCTAAGGACAACGAAGTGGCTTCCGTAAAGTTAGTGTTTTTTAGAACAAGTTCGAAGAGGTTTCGGGAAACGAGTAATTTTGAACATTTTATTATCACAATATTTACAATTCGTTATTTATTGATGTTACTTTATTATTAGCTTTTTCATTCATTTTATTATCAAAGTATTTACAGTTTTTATTTATACATGTTACTTTACTATTATATTTTTTTTAAATCATTTATTATCAAAGCATTTCGTTATTTATAAATGCTAGTTTACTATTAAATTTTTATGGATCCGACAGATTAGTTATTTGCAAGTAAAATATAGAATGATAATCACGCTCAAAATTTTAAGATTTCGGACCTGACACCCTAAAAGTTTATTGTCCAGAGTCTTATTATTTCAAATACTATTTGGTTAATCAATCGATGTAATTCGTATGTTTCTTAAAATACTTAAGCATAATGAATTTTGGCATCCTTCTCATTTTCTAGTGAAAGTGTTCGGATAAAATTTATATAATTAGTTTCTTCATTAGAAATGTTGATTGGGGAGCCATTATGGCTTTTCAAATCCATACAAATTTGGTTACTGTGGAGCTTTCCGGCTAATTCTTCAAAGCTTTTGTTTAAATTTGTTAAATCATTAAAACAAATAATAACTTTATGAATTAGAATAGGTCGTTGGTTAATTGTTTCTGGTATTTTACCAAAGAAAGTGGATTTCCGATCGTAACATAGTTTCTGCATAAAAGTAACTCGAAACCCTTTCAAATTATCATTAATGTACCAATAAACTGAATGCTTGTGTGTGCCCGACCATCCTCCTCTTGTGGCACTATGCGACCATCTTACCCCTTTATTTGCACAGAAATTACAATCTATTTGATAATTACTTGTCTTTGTGATACTATATTTTTTGCTGATGCTTGCTGTAAGGCCAGTAGTACCTATTTGGCCGTCAAAACCCGTCTCATTACTTGATATCTCTTCATTATTGTTCTGTGGGATATATGCCTTTGCTACATCAATAACGTTGATTGCATCTTCATTATAAAAAATTGGAGAGACCTTAATCAAAATAGAATCAAGATAATAGCCTATAATGCCTTGAAATGCTTCACAAATTTCATTAAGCATCTGTCCTGCTCCACATAAGAATAGATCAAGATTAATCTCTAAAAGTTGTCTAGATATACGATTTGCAGTGCTAATATTCGCACTGATATATGCACCTATCGTAAAACTTTGAAATATGTTTTTTTCAAATTTGACAAATGCTAAAGACTGTACATGTATAAATGGACTGTCTATATTACTATCTTTTTTGTCTCGATTTTGATTTTCATCCTTATAAGGTATATCAACATCATTAGCGTTTACTAAGGATTGCATGATACAGAGTAATTTTTTGAAATCGTTGTGAATACAGAACTTTATTAATGAAATGGTCTTTCAGTGACTGCTGTTTCTTTTGGAATGATGCTAAATCTGAATTTATATAAGCTTATTACAAGCTTTTGAATTACTGCCACCGTTAATAAACATCTTATCTTAATCATGAAATACCTATTATTTTTGTTAACATATTATATTGTTTTGACGATATGATTGTTTGATGATACATATTGTTTTTATTTTAAAATGATCATTTGATTATCACCGTGTCTAAATCCATATCAATTTTGTAATTGTACAACACACAAATTATTACACATATAGCTAAATTAAGGAGACTTTTGTTCGCGTGAGCAATACAATTTCAATTAGGGATAAGGTTTATGTTACGTATATGTAAAATTTCCTTTCAGGCATTTCTTTTGGTACTTCAGAATAAGTATAGGTTTAAATAGTAATTTCTCTTACTGTACTTTATACAGTGGTAAACAATATCCCGCTTTGGCGGACCCTTTTTTTTTAGGTTTGTATCAAATATGTTAGCACTGTACTATTCAAAATAGTCTAAAGCATCACAATAATACCAGTTACATAAACAATATCATAATATGTTTAAAAATAATATTATAATTAGAAAATTACGACTTAATTATTATTATAGTGTATTACATATTTAAGGAACTGAATAATAATGTTTCATATATTAAAAAAATTTATCTTTTATTTGACAAAGCTATAAGGTATTCGAAAGTAAAATCAACACTTTTGAATTCAATATCGATGTATGGAATTTGTAAAAAATGCAAAAACGAATACTCGCATGTTTCATGGTGTAAAACGTGCGACTCTGTAAATTCTGTTCGCACCGGAAATAATACAGTCGACAAGTTTTTACAAGATGCTTTAAAATCGGCAGTTCGTTACCATAAAGTGATAGAATGGATTCCTTTTGACAGATTAGAAAATATAGAAATGATTGGAAAAGGTGGGTTCAGTACAGTGTTTTCAGCCACGTGGATAGACGGAAAAAGAGAGTCCATAGATGAGGAAGGAGAAAAAAGAGGAGAAGAATTGAAAGTTGCACTTAAAATGTTGAGTGATTCTAAAGATATCTCGGATGACTTTTTAAAAGAGGTAATACATTTTTACTCTTCTACTTCAAATCTACTTGAATGGTTTAAATGATATGAATGCAAGATCATGTTTAATTTAGATCGAATATCACCATAAATACTCATCCATTAATTTATATGGTTTGACTCAAGAACCGACTACAAAAAATTACACGTTAGTTTTAAAATTTGCAGATAGTGGTAATCTTCGGCAGTACATTACATCAAATTTCAACGCCGAAGAATTTAACTGGGAAAAAAAATTGACTTTTTTACGAAAGATAGCCAATGAATTAATTAAGATTCATAATGGTGGAAAAACACATCGTGATTTTCATGATGGTAACATTTTAATACACAGCAATAATTATCCGTGCATTTCAGATATAGGATTAGTTGGTCCCGCTAATGCAAAAACTAAAGGAAATGAAGTCTTTGGGGTACTACCTTATGTTGCTCCAGAAGTACTACATGGACAGCAATATACAACGGCTGCTGACATTTATAGTTTTGGGATTATAATGACCGAATTTTC